GCTTCAGACAATCGTTCTGACGCATAATTTTACACGTGAAATGCAGCCAATCCTTGAAGCGTTTTGTCTTCGGCATCTTCATTAATCCCCTCGCTATCAGTAGACGTTCCGGGAGTCTCCCGCATATTGATAACGGCTCCCTGATGCCCGCAAATTAGTTAAATTCCCCCGGAATCTAGAGCGAGCGAGCAAGAGCGCGCATGCGAGACAGATCAGACTGCTTCAAACCGTATAGTGCGCACACGGCGGAGAGGGAGAGAGCGAGAGACTTTGCGTGTGTGCGCCTAATGGCAAAGACTCAGGCACCGAAATTTTCGTTCTTATACGGTCTGGTTATTACCGTTTACGTCGGAACCGGTTCCCTATTGGCACCGCGTTTCGGTACCCAACCCTACTCGTGATCATTATATGAACATCAGAATAAAAGCATCTGTTGATTGTGTCTCATCAGCTCCTGTGATTCTGGATCCAAACTCGGCTCAGTCACATCTAGTCCTGTCGGATGATTTGACCAGTGTGAGATGGAGCTTGAACAGTCAACCACTTCCTGATAATCCAGAGAGGTTTGATGAGTATTCGTGTGTTCTGGGTTCAGAGGGCTTTAACTCAGGAACACACTGCTGGGATGTGGAGGTCAAAGAGAGTTTGTACTGGAGTCTTGGAGTAACTACAGCATCAAACCAGAGGAAGGGAGGTGTTTTCTTTAACTCTGGTGTCTGGTGGGTGCAGTACGGACTGGATGAGCGGTTTGGTTTTCCTGTGAAAGAGAAGCTTGAGCGTGTGAGAGTTCACCTGGACTATGACAGAGGAACGGTGTCATTCTCTGATCCTGTAACTAGCACAAAGCTACACACATTCACAACCACCTTCACTGAAACTGTCTTTCCTTTCTTCTGGTGTCATGATTTGAAAATTTTACCTGTTACATTTCATCTCATAGAAGAGTTGCATTTGATAGAAGAGTTGCATCAGTTGTGAAATCCCTCCTGGAGGTCATAGGCCCAAGCACCTCTGAGAAGTCTGGTATTTCTTAGTCTCCTTTTGATGTTCACCAGAATGTTTGGTGACGTATTCCTCAAACATAAAAGAGACTCATTGGGGGTAGAGCTGATTCCATTCCCACAGGAGAAACTCCAGGTCTGATTCTTGAACAAATCGTTCTTTGAGTTGAATTGGTCGAGCTGGTTCACAAAATCTAAATGAACCAGACTTTAGTTTGATAGCAACTACACCAGTTACTGAACCAAAGAACCAGTTCAAAATAAATGAATTTGGCAGAGTCAAAGTCAGTGATTCAGTCATATCCGAAAAAAAAACTCAGATGAGGCGGTTCAATTGTTTTCGGATGATTACAGAGGACTTGCTGTCTATTGTGACTAGTGTTAGGGCCAATCCCAATTCTACCCCTTACCCCTTCACTTTCCTCTTCCCCTCCATTTTGCGCGTCCACGTGAAGGGGTAGGGTTGTCCCAATTCTCTTTTGGTTGGAGGGGGAGGGCTAGGGGGAAGGGCCAGATAGCCCTTCAAACGAAGATTTTTCGGGAGCACACTTCAAACGAAGGGGTATGAGAAGTGTCACTGCTAACCCAGGCTGGCTGCCCAAGCGACAAAGGAGACCCATAAATTTAAGTATTTGTGGCTTTAATAAGTATTGTAACGACAAATAATGATTTGCTTTATGTTACATTCAATATTGTGTTCATATTTACGGTTAGTTTCTTCACAGAAACGTTTGTAAAAAAATTTTAAAAAATCGCTAAAATTACTGTAGTTTGCTAACGATAGTCCCGCAACATATTTTCGTCGTCTCCGTTGTTTCCTGCGAACTTCACAAGATAAATGCAAGAAAATAGCTGTAACCCACGCGACTGAGATAACTGCAGCTGTCGACGGGATCTTGGAAGTTGTGATAAACATCAGCGCATCTCCAGTGACGTAGGCGCTATAATATAATGACGTTTAACGGAGGCGTAGTGGTGTCCCATTTCTTAGGGGAATATTTTCACCCCTACGCTTTGCCACTCTGTTTCAAGGGTCAAGGGGAAGGCGAAGGGGTAGGGCTAGGGGAAAGTGAAGGGGTAAGGGGTAGAATTGGGATTGGCCCTTAGTGTTAGTGTCAAAAGAATTGGTACTTCAGTCTGTACTGAAATTTTACAAAAGTACCTGTACTAGGTCAGTTCGGTACCGCTGATAGGCGGCTGCATTTAAACACACCTGAGCATTCAATATTTATGCTTCGTAAAAAAGTATTCAGTGTTTCTATTTACAATGTGTTTTTTGAAGCATTGCAGCCAATCACTGACATGACTATTGAGCATGTGAGCGCAGTGGCCAATCAGACATGTTTAAGTTTAAGTTAGTCAGAATCCTGTCGAAATGACTAAGTTTATGTTCTACACACTTATGAATCCTTTAATTATAAACACAATGTAAGTGATGCATTGTGCAGTGTGGGCAGCGTCATTGGTTATAACGGGAGGTTTTTGCAGGAGTGCAGAACTCTGATTGACAGCTTCAGTGATTATAATGTAAGGGTTTTTTTGCTTGCCAATTTACAATTTGAAGAAAAGTTGTATTTTTCATGCTGCTAATTACACATTACACTGTTATAACCGTATTTAAGTGTAGGATTGAATCCGAAACTCCAATGAATTTTTACTTTGTAAAGAAATGTTTACTTAGCTTAAAAAAAAAAAATCAAGACTACTTGCTGTTTTAATGTATTATTTACATGTAATTATTATTATCATTAATAATGAATTAATTTAATATTTTCTTTATTTTAAAATAGTTAAATAGTTCCAATAGGTTTTGCTATGGTTCCGAAATTGGTACCAAGAATAATTACATTTTACTGGTGTTGGTACAAACTGCTGAAATGTTGGTATCGAATTAAATATATAAACCCAAAGATCTTTGCTTCTGTGCTATTTTTTAATATTAAAAAATAATTCAAGTTTTTTCAGGAGAAGGTTTTGAGACTTAGAATTATGTAGACATTTTACTTCATGAATGTTACTAAAACAATTTAATATTCCTAACATTAGTTTTCCAATTGTGATTATATTTGAAGAGTTCCATTTGAAATTTTCTTCTAGAATAATCATTTTTATCAAGCTTGTATATTTAAGTTCAGTGATTTCACTTAAATGGCAATGATAATTACCTATTAATTGTTATTTAAGTGAAATTACTGAACTTAAATATACAAGTTTGACAAAAATCATCATTAAAGAAGAAAATTTCAAATGGCATTTAGAGGCTTTTGTATCTGAACTCTTCATTTCTTCATGATACTAGATAATTGTTTTTCTTTTGATTGACATTTTAAGTCATCAATTTATCAACAACAACATAGTACAAAGATGAGCCAGTGTACCTGCCATGAGCCTGAGACCCAACTGCAAATGAACAAGTTCTACACTAGTGGCTCTTAGTAATTACTTAGACCAGTCACTGAACCAAAGAACCAGTTCTAAATGAACAGTCGCAAGTCAGTGGTTCAGTAATGTCCGACTTAAAAAAGAGTGAGCTGCTGATAGTCTGCACATGCGTTTACCACCAAAGGACTTGAACGAGCCTGAAGCGAAATGTACATTTACATTTAATCATTTAGGAGACACTTTTATCCACAGTGACTTACAAATGCATCCTTACGACTTACAAAGAAATCAGTGTCATTAAACTTGATTTATGTTATGTTATCTCAATGTAGTAATTAGTCATAATTGTTTTTGGACAAAAACTCTTTTTGGAAAATTGTCTTATCAAAAAATGAAGGCACTTTCTCACTGACAGCATCAAACAGAGCATTGTTCTCCTTAAAAATGCAAAATAGATCAAACAATACTGTGTTTAAAATGTACCGGACTTAATATCACTTTTTGTATGTTAATCTCTTGTGTAAAATCAATTTCACATTTGCAATTATGTGAATATTCAGAGAAAAATGCATTATTGCTCATACAGTATAATCAACTCACATGATTCTTTATTGAAGAGAGTTTGAGTCTTATATAGCCTATACACAGAGGGGATTTTAGATATATCTCTATATCACTCTATAAGAAAATACTATTAACAGCCAAAAATAAAATCATTTTCATATTTTCTTTAAGGAATAAAATAAAAGTAGGAAAATTTAGCACATCATTGTTGTTTAAACATACCCTCAGTGCAAATTCTTGTTTTGTCCTGGCTAACATTTTTGTGCTGTTTGTATTTGCCTTACTGTGTTTCACCCTTTGATTTCTGTGTTTCAAACCATCTGATTTCTGGATTAATGTTTGGGATTTTTATTTGGGCTGTCACACTTGGACTGCCTAGCTGTGTTATTGACCTGGATGTGTTAACTGTTACTGTTGTTACTGTGAACTGTGTTACAATCTCCTTTCGGGAAGAGGCAAAT